TCTGTGGTAACACAGAATGGCGGTCTTCAGCTGTTTGGCAGCTGTATGTTTATTTTGTTAGGTAGAACATTTGCAAGAAGCTTCTTCAGGCTAAAGAAGCTTCATGTGATTTCATGGACACCATGAGGAATACTTACATAACAGACATCTTTATGGAGATATGCATGGTTTAATATGTCTTTACCAAGCTTGCTCTATTCCATGAAGATTGGCTCCTTTTTTGACAGTCCTCTTTCTTACTAGCACCACAAAGGCTGTTGCATAGAAATTAAATGCTAATAACTAACTAGGTATCTGTTAACAGCATCTTTTGGGGTTTTTATTGGTTTAACTGTGGACATTGTACTGGGTATGCTAATAAAAAAAAATCAACAGGGCCAGGAATACTTAAACACTGCTGGGGATTAGCATATAATTAAATCCAGAAGGGCCTTAGAGCTTTAAACCAAATTAGCTTTACTGTGATTTGAATGCACAGTGAGTGTTCAGTATCTATATGAGAAAGTGTTAATTACAAGGCTTTTACTGAAATAACTTTCAGAAAGTGTCTAGCATAATTCAAGATACTTTTATACTTTTTTTTTTTTGGTCCTAACTGTAATCATCATAAGGGAAATGTAAAGCAAGCGTACAGGCAACAATAAAAACTTGACAAGTTGAGTGTATTAAGCCATGTAGTTGCTGTTCCCATGAAGGAAAAGTCACCAGTCTTAGGTTTCTCTTCCTTTGGGGGCTGGGAAGAATTAGGCCTGGCTAATGTGAATGTTAGATGACCTACTCAGTAGGTGGTCCTGCTTGAGGTCTGTGAATCTAAATGCAGAAAATGATATGGATATTTTAAAGCTCCTGTGTTTGGAGAAGGCATCTCATGTTATTTAGTAAATAGAGTAAATACCCGGGAGGAGTTTGGAAAGGGAAAGGCAGGGAGCGAGCTGCTGCTGCAGCATCTGGTGTACTTTCTGTGGGGCTGGTAATTATCTGTGGGGCTGGTAAGTAGTGAGGCCGTGGGGTGAGATGGCTCCGTGCTCAGGAGCTCTGACCATGCGGGGCTGAGTCACCTCTGCCCGGGCGGCTCGCGGTGCCTTTGTGACTTGCAGGCAAGCAGGGCTCTGGTGTGAATGATCTGGAGGCGTCCAGCAGTGCTAAGGCAGGCTTTAAAAAAGAGGCTGGACTTTAACTGTGAATAATTTGTATTAATGGTTTCATTAATAGCAACACTTCAAACCTGAGCTTTGGGGTCATCTTGATTCTAGAACTGAGAGTACTTCTGAGAAGGGCTTCTAATTCACTTTAGAAGCTAAGCTTTGTTTCCTTTTGTATAAGAACAGAGAACTTGGATCTAGACCACTATTAATATACATGGATTATTTAGGTCTTAATTAGTTAAACTGCAAAAATGATGAAAATCGGAGGCAGTTGGAACTTGGAGTGGGATGCACTGCATCATTACCACCCAATTCCTTGGTAAAACAGGAAAATTACTCAAATTGTCTTTGACAAAATGCAATAGATTCTGTTCTTGCAAGATAAAACAAATGGGCTTATTTTTGCAGGCATGCCATAGCTGTAGCTGTGCATTCCCCTCATGTTCTTGTGGGCTGGCATGGCTTCAAATCTGCCGGCTCGCTGGGGAGGCTGAACAGAGTCTCAGTGGGCTCTGTTTGCTTTGTCTGTTTAGACTCGAGCCTCATTCCTAAGATTCCTAGGTTCTGAGGATTTCTCTGGGTACAATAATGAAATGTTATATTGAACAGTCTCGGAGGAAAGTCTGGAGCTGGACTTCATATTAGTGCAGCAGTGAAGGTGGTTGTGGTGCTGGGAAATAGCTCTTGTTAGTGCAGTCCTTTAAATGACACTGCCTAATGTGCTGCTGGTGTTCAGCGCTTTTAATAGGAGAGGTTCAGAGGGAAAATCTGAGCCCTCAAAACAAACACAGCTACAGCTGAACACTTAAGTGGAGCCTGAGCTGAAGCGGGTGACTGTATGTATACATAAATACGTACTGATGGACATATATGGTGCGTGGTGTCCTTGAAGCCTGGTGAGTGAGGCATTAGGTATGTGTCGAAGGAATTAGTTTCTGGGTGAGGCTTTGAGACTCCTTTTTAGCCAGCAACTATTTGGCCTAACGATGATGTTCAAGACAAGGAGTTAATCCTGCCCTTACTTGCCTGAGTGTTGCGAGGCAGCGGTGGTGCTCGGAGCAGCTGGGGCACAGGATGGTGCTCAGGCTGGAGCTTGTCCTTGCACCAGCCTGGAGCACGAGGGGTGCCTCTTTAAAGGGCACCCTCCTCAGGAAACTACCTGCCATGGGCAGCTAATGTGGCCCTGGGGCTTTGGGTGCTGTAATAGTAGTGCTTGAGGAGATAAACCTGCTATTGCCAACTTATTCTCGAGTTATTGACTGCACCTGCAAGCAGAGTGTGGCCTGAGAGCCTGAATATTCAACCAGGCAGGTCAGCTTGTTGGGCATCTTATTAATGTGCCACTTGCTGTTGAGGACAGCTAACAGTTTCTGAAAAGCACTGAGTGCTGCCTCTGTTAGACTGACATTTATGAGGATGAGCATTTGAATAAAATAGTCCTGCTCAACAAACTACCTCTGCTACCTAGTTTGGTAACACTTCATTCCCCATGTGTTACTGTCTGCTTCAAAAACAACATTCCTGGGATTCTTTACTCTTTCCTCCTAGCATAAGCTGCCCAACTGAAGTCATCTGTGATGCATTCACACCATTCCCCGCTCTGCTTTGTGCAGCAGCATGAGCTGTCTGTCAGTTAAAAACTTGAGGAATTTCTCTAATCCAGTTAATAATCTGTTTAGCCTCAGAGACTTTATAGACAATTAGTTTTAGATAGTGCAAAGAAAATCAGTGATATAATTAGATGATAACCCCCAAGCTTATGTGTGACTCCTCGAAAGCTGTGTTCTTGTTGCATATACTCTGTGCTGTATTTTACGTCTGTGAAAGACAAAGAATATGTGGCTAACAGGGCAGTCTTAAATTACAGGCATGCATTTCAAAGTCAGAGCCCTTCTACTGTTGGATTACTGCTGTTCAAGTATCCTTCTAAATGACAAATGTATCTTCCTGGGGAAGTGAAACTTAACATGCTTCATGCTAAATGATGCTAGTTGTGATGGGTGGGGAAGTTTTTCCCAAAATCTATTCTTAAAATTTAGCAAATGCTACCAAGGAAGCAGCCGTTGCAGCATGCGCTTCACAGCATACCTGCTAACAGTGCTGGAATAAGATATGCACAAAGCACTGCTTGCATTCCCTCAGATAAACCTAGCTTTTGATCTTTCATTGATCAAAAGCTGTTTTATGGGCTAAACGTGCGTTTTCTGCGAGCATGCATAGTGGTGTACAAATTACTTAGAGCTATGTTTACCCAAGCGTGCCTGAAGGATTGGAATCCTTTTCTACTAGAAAGTGCCTTGTAACCATGACAACTGAAAACGCTTTTTTTGCACTTGGAACTCAGTGTTGGAGCTTGAACCTGCTCTGACTTGATTTGCTTTTCCTGGTTATTGGGGAGCATCACAAGCTTTTGGTGGGAGATGAATCGCTTGGGTGCCATCCCTCCCCTCTCCTTCTGAGAACTGTTCCTTCTGCAAGCAAGAGACCAAAGAAAAATGAGGAAATGAGCATCTTAATGTTTTGGGAATATCTAGTGTAAAGAAAAGAATAGCTGGCTGCTCTGAAACTTCTATTAAACTTTCTGAATAGAACTTGGATGACTGTAGAAAAGCTTAAAAACCATGAAACTGATAATGTTTTGTTTTTCTCTACAGGATCCCCTTACTACGACAATGTCCGTCCACTTTCCTACCCAGATTCTGATGCTGTCTTGATATGTTTTGATATTAGTCGGCCAGAAACTCTTGACAGTGTGTTAAAAAAGGCAAGTGCTTGAGAAACATTTGAGTACTGATCTGTTTATAAGTAGCCTGTCTCTAAAACTCAAAAGTGCAGTTTTCTACGCTGAAAACCTCAGTCTTTGTGCTCTCTCAATGGAACTAGACCAGACTGTTTAGCGCTGCTAGAACACAAGTTTTTCATTTGGAAGGAATGTAAGTTAATTGAAAACAAAAAATGCCTAATGCAAGCTCTAAATGCAAAGCAAAACTGTCATTACTCTGCCCTAACAATAGTGAGTAGTTGGATAATATCATGCACCAGGTTGGATACAGCAAGAAGCTGTTTCCAACTATACATCTTTCAGTGAGTGATGAGTAGTTAACATCTCTAAAAGAGTTCAGACCTATGTAATGACTTTGTTATTTCTCAGCCTTAGGAAGAGGCAGCAAATAATGCTGGAAGACACCAGGAAGACCTAACAATAGCATAAAAGTGTAACCCCACACCAAATCTGACTTCTTCAGAAGCTCAGTCATCCAGGATTCAAGGCCTGATTCTCTGCTTAGTTAAAGCTCAAGGATTCTCAAAATAGTGTTTTTAATGACCTGATTTGATGGCAGTGAGGTAGCATGCAGTGCTCTAAATAGTTCACAGAAAATACTAAAGACTAGCTTCATGACTACTTATGCCAACAAGCCTTCAGAAGTCAAAGAACTTGTGATATATTGTGTCCCTCCCCACCCACACAGGGATATTGTGAGAAAACTAGAAAGACAACTCTGCAGCCTGTTTGCCTTATTGCTGGGATAACCACACCTGAATATCTCAGAGGTTAATGTATTTTTAGGTAGTGGAATGTAGCTGAGAACTGATCTATACGTATACTTTCATACCAAACATGCCTCATAGCTCAGTTCTGATGAACCAGCTTCATTGGATCCTGGCAGTACGTGGCCATGGCCAAGTGTTCCCTGCCTGTAGGGAGGGACATACCTGCAAGTCCTTGCTCATGCAGGTAAACATGATCTCATTTGTTCTCTTTTGATTAGTAAGTCAGTGGAACTAATGAGTGTGTAGAATTGAGATTTCATCCTTGACCAGGTGCTGCTGGCTGTAGTGCCTTTAGAGCCAGCTTCAAGCTAAACACCCATTGGTTATGAAAACTTAAAGTATTTCTACATAAAACTGCATGGCCTATTCAACTTCCTCCATTACTTCTCTGATAAATCTCACCACTGAATAACTGCAGTATATTAACAACCTAACCTTTTGCAGTGGAAAGGTGAAATCCAGGAGTTCTGCCCCAACACCAAAATGCTCTTGGTCGGCTGCAAGTCGGACCTGCGCACAGACGTGAGCACATTGGTGGAGCTCTCCAACCACAGGCAGACGCCGGTGTCCTATGATCAGGTCAGTGTTGCTGCCTGCTGGGGAGGGGGGAAGGCTGCTTTCTGCCCCTGCATTCCTCCTCAGGAACATCTCCCTTCATCATGGATACATCCATGATGCCAAAACACACTGCTTAGTAGCTGCTGGAGTTGAGCTTGCAAGCTGTGTTGGGTAAAGGCAAAGCCTGCTTGCAGGCTGGATGCACCAAAATCAGGTAGTCCCATGATATGTGCTTTAAGAATCATGAATTCTACACAATGGAAGCTTCACTGGTTGCAAAGAGCCTTAAAGTGAACTTCATGAAACCTGCTACTACTGAGACTGGAGAAACTAAAACAATAGCTGAAGTGTCACACTTCCCAATCACTAAATTGTCTTGAGAGACAAAGGTTAATGTCATACATACAACCTCAAGACAAAGGTTAATGTCATACATACAACTTTAGCATTGTGTCATATCAAACTCCTTGAAAGTCCTATTCCTTGAAAACATCATTTTGTATCACTTGGCTCTCATCCTGAAGGCTGCAGCAAATCCAATGAGCTTCTTCAAGCAGCAGAAGTCCTCTGCTGCTGAGGGAGTGAGGAGGTTGGAGCCAGACCCTGGAAGGGACAGGGCTGGATAAAGAGGCTGGGAATAGGAAAGGAATTGGGCCAAAAGGAGTCGGGCCGTTAGAGGACAGAAGACAGGGAGCAGGATCCAGAGAAATTGCTCCCCTGTGTGTACCCAGCTGAATCCAGTGTTGGTATCAGATGTATCCTGCAGAGTGTAAGAGCAAAAATGGTAGCTGCATAGTTGGAGCTAGTGTGCATATCCTACACTATCAAACACATTTTGATGTCTTATGCCAAAGCCTCAGGTTTTCCTACCCAGCAGCTCCTAACATGCAATTACTAATAATACAGCCTCCTACAGCATGTTTAAAATTAAAAATGCTGAGATGCTATAGACTATCTTAATTAAAATACACCAGGAGCTGTTTTACTGTGATGGCTTATGCTGGTTTCATTAACTTTTTTATTGTGCTTAACTTGGTAAATATCTTTGCAACTTAAGGTTATACTTGAAGCAAAACTGCCACTTGAAGTGTGCTAAAGCATTCAGAAGTTTCCTTAAAATCTAATTGCAGAAGATGGTCTTGATGAAATAAAAGTGGTAGCTTATACTAATGTGTTTTCATGTTCAGCCCTGGAGCTGTTATTTTCCAT